AGACCTTGCTAATAACAAAAAGAAGGCTGATCGGAAGATAATTGGAAGGTTCAAAATATACTTAGAGGAAGGAGAAAGTTGGAACCACAGATGCCATTTTCTATTAGGCAGGAAAAAAAAACTCAGTCAAGCTTTTGTAAAAGTTTCTCCAGAACGCTCTTCAGTTTAGAGAAAACTGAAGAGCGTTCTGGAGAACAATTTTGTAAGACTGTGACAGAAATGTTGTCTTGTCAAGCCATAGAAAAATTTAATTGAGATATGACTTTAGCAATGAAAGCTGGAGTGATTTGAATGTCTATCAATGGGTTAACCTGTTTAATTGGAATGAAAGGAAGAGAATGGCCATAAGGTTTGAGAGTCCAATTAGAAAAAAAGTTCTTTGCAAATAGATATTCCTTTTCTTTGGGAGAGGTAGTAAGATCAGTTCCATGAATGAGAGAGGGAATGTGATACCTACCCTTGTTAATGACGCTGTTGAAGATTTTCCAAAAGTCTCTGTAGCCCAACTTCTGTGATAAGATAACAGATTAAGTGAACTGAGAATAATGGAACTTAGCATCAACTTTGCACCATTTTTACATTGATTTCTTGCAATCATAAATAGCTGTTTGTTCTCAAGAGAGTTATTCTTTTGAATAAGGTAAAAGAAAATGGTTACAATTAGATTTAGCAGCTGCAGAAGAAATTGTAAATTATGGAATAAAATAAGGCTTGACTTAAAACCAATGCGAAAGAATTAACCTTCCATTTCTGCCATAATCCAGGAGCCAACCTTGTTATGAGATTTTGTTGTGTAACAGAAAAGCGTATCGCAAGTAAATATAACTTTACTCAATAAACATATTTACATTGTTAAAGTTTAGTTATATTAGTTGCATATTTTACATACATTGTTAAAGTTTAATTATATCAGTTGCATATTTTACATACATTGTTAAAGCTTAGTTGCATATCAGTTGCATATTTTACAAACATTGTTAAAGCTTAGTTGCATATCAGTTGCATATTTTACATACATTGTTAAAGCTTAGTTGCATATCAATTGCATATTTTAAAGTAATAAAAATATAATAGTATATTTTATTGTGATAAAATTTATTTTGAAACATTTTTTTAAATCGACAAAAAAATTATGTATTTCCTTATTTTAAAAAAATTTATACTTAAACTTATTTTTATTATTATTATATTTTTTTTTATCTTATGTTTATTTTTTTAAAATGAGGGGCGATTGTTTATGGTTGAGTTTTTTAATGGTCAAAAAATAAATAAAAACTATCAACACCTAATGTTTTCTGAATAAACTATTTTAAAAGACTGTTTAAATAATTGTCTAATTGTAAAAAGTTTTTTGTAACGTAAATGGCTAAACACGTAGGTAAAATTGTCATTTTGTGTGCGAAATTCAAATAGCAAATTGCTTCTTAACAAGTCCTGCAGGAGGTTAAGTATGAAGCGCATTTAGTAATTTTTTTGTGACAAGACAAGTTTTCATGATTCATAGAATTATGAAAATTTTCACAATGTATCATAAAATATGTTTTTAAGAAAGAAAAAAATTAACTTTTATTAACAAAAAAATTGAATTTTCCTTTATAAAGATTTTGCTTAGATTCTTTTACTGTATCTGTCCCTACATGCTCTAAAAACTTTTATCTAGTTTTTTTCCTCGTATTTCTTAAGTAGTTGCTTTATTGGGAGTGAATAAAAATTTTTTTTTTAATATTTTTTATTTAATAATTAGTTTTTTTGTTATTGGTTCTAGGAAAATATCCCTTCCTCCCTACGCCAAAAAAAAATTTCAGAAAAAGAAAAAAAAAAAGATAAATGAAAGCAGAGATTGCTGCCACAACCCAACCCTTAGTTGATGTAGCAGCACTCCTATTGGCAGCAGACTAAGATAGTTGATTTATGTGCTGAAGCCCTTTTTTAGATAGCATCATCAGCGCATTTAGACAAATTAGCGATTAAAATAATTTTATTGTTTATGACATGCTACTTTAATCTGTTTCATTGTCAAATTTTTAATGTAAACTATATCTTTTAATACTATATTTTATTATTGTTTTAATAAAAATATTTAATATATCATTTCTATAATAATAAAAATATATCATAATTGCTGTATTAAACTAAGAACATTTTTTCTTTTAAATGTATTTACATTATTACTTTAAATGTCATTACTTTATTTTTCTTTAAATCTTTTTATTTATTTTCTCTTAAGTTTTTGCTGCAAATGTAATAAATGAATTTATAGGTAAATTTAAAATTATTTATAGAAGGATTCTTAAAAATACATACGTTTAATAAAATCTTGTTTTATGTATTTTTATAGTTTCATAAAACAATTGTCCTCTTAGTATTAAGTTTTAATAGTAACAAATTTATAAAAACTAACAAGTGCTAATAAATTTATAATAACTAATTTTAGCAGTTTTTAAAATGAGCAGAGATAAGAAAAGTATTTTATATATCTACTCAAATTTAAAGAATCCTTATCAGTTCTTTAATACCTTATTAAATCATATGTTTGGGATATAAAATCTGCAGTTTTAGAATATAAAAATTCTTATAGTTTTTTTTTTCATTAAAGGGAGGGGTAAGGTATTGACAGTTCTAACATGCCTAAAAATCTAGAAATAGTTGGTTTGCGGTATTATTACAATTATGCTGCCACAGGAATTAACAAATTGGTTTATGAACCATTTAAAAAAAAGAGAACAAGAAAGCTATTTTTGATAGATTTAATAATAATTTTTTTAATTGGGGTTTATTTTATTATTTTTTTTGAACTTTATATGTAATGTTTCTATTCTTTACTTTGTCTTTCTGTGTGTGTGTGTGTGGTATGTATGTATATATATATATATATATATATATATATATATATATATATATATATATATATATATATATATATATATATATATATATATATATATATATATATATATATTTATTTATATATATACACATATACATATACATACACGCACAAATATACATTATATTTAGTAACAAAGAAGTCTTTCGTGTTTACATTTTGATGCCACTGTTACCTTGCTTTCCAGGTAACAAATATTTTAAAAGTATTGTTGTGTTTATTATTGATTTTAGTTTAATTATATCATAGATTAAATCACTTATTTTACACCATATGTAATGTAATGTAAACAAAAACGATGAGCCTAAGAATGGCAACTCTCTTAACTCTCTCAACTCAATTATTATTATAAAACCAAAATCTTCTTCAGGAAAGGAACACTTTGGTTTTATATCTACTTTAGCATAGATACTAATAAAAGCAATATTTAAGTTTTGGGTTGTGACACATGGTCCCAGGTAAAATCACTTAAAGAAAAACAAAGTTTTGAAAAATTTGATTACCTTTAAACTATTTTATTAAAGTAAAAATATATAGATGAATTATTATGCCATAATTTTTCATGTTTCCAATCTCGTATGAACATATGTAACTAACATGGAAATAAAATAAAATCAATATGGAATTAAAATTGAATAAAAATTAAAAAAAAAACAGTCATCAAGATCAAAAAAAAAAACAGTCATCAAGAAGAATAAACTTGTTCTTATTTAGCAAAATTACAATTTTAAGACATAAAGAATATATATATATATATATATATATATATATATATATATATATATATATATATATATATATATATATATATCCTGTACACTTTAGTTATAAAATGATTAATTTTTTTATACAACGAAACTCATTTTATTTTTGTGTTTCTATAAATCTAAATGATTTGTCTAAATATAGATAAAAATATACAAAATTGATAAGATTTTGTATATTTTGTGTAGTAGTATATTTTAATGTAATCAGCATAGTACTATGGTGATTACATTAAAAATAACTATAGGGTTTTATATTGTGGGTCAACCAGTATTTTGAGGTACAGCCTAAGATCAAACACTTTTGTACACTTATTGGTGTACAAAAGTGTTTGATCTTAGGCTGCCTGTTCTTTGCGATTTTTTGTTATTTTTAATAATCTAGCTGATAACACACTGCTGTACACACTGTACACTGTACACACTGTACACTGTACACTGTACACTGTATACACTTTTCAAGTATTCCTTTTTCTGAAAATGACTATGAACCTTTACTACTTTGCCTTACATAAGTTTTTATAATTAGATTTAAAATTCAATTTTTATTTTTAAAAGGTGAAATAGGCACATCTAGCGCAACCTCTATGTTATATGTTGAATCTTGGAACTTAAAGTCTTGTAATAAAGTTATTAATCGTCTTAAGGCAGCAGGAGGTAACTTCATTTTTATATTTAACATTATACAGCATGCAATTTTTTTTTTAGTTTTTCACAATTTCTAACTTTTCTTTTAGTTTTCGATTTTTAGTATTTTATTTTGAATGTCTCCTATTATTTAGAATAAAAGTGATATAAACATATGTATGTACTTTTATATAACTTTGTGAGGACTATACTCCCAAAAGACAACCCACAAGAACTTTTCCTAATAAATTATGAAAAATTTAACAAAAAGTTTTTTTTGAAAGTATACATAAATAATTTAATAACTAATCATAAAATAATAATTTAATAAATAATCTTAATAATGTTTTACACATACAAAAATTGATTTATGTTTTAATGGGTGTTATTTAAAATATTTAAAACTGAGTTATTAGTGTTCTTCTTCTTATTTTTTAATTCATTTTTAATCAAGTTTTATGGTTTTTTATTTTATATAATTCAGTTCATGATTGGCAGCAGACTAAGATAGTTGATTTATGTGCTGAAGCACTTTTTTAGATAGCATCATCAGCGCATTTAGACTATATATATATATATATATATATATATATATATATATATATATATATATATATATATATATATATATATATATATATATATATATATATATATATTATATATATATATATATATATATATATATATATATATATATATATATATATATATATATATATAGTCTAAATGCGCTGATGATGCTATCTAAAAAAGGGCTTCAGCACATAAATCAACTATCTTAGTCTGCTGCCAATCATGAACTGAATTATATAAAATAAAAAACCATAAATTTTTTATGTTATTTAAAATATTTAAAACTGAGTTATTAGTGTTCTTATTATTATTTTTTAATTCATTTTTAATCAAGTTTTATGGTTTTTTATTTTATATAATTCAGTTCATGATTGGCAGCAGACTAAGATAGTTGATTTATGTGCTGAAGCACTTTTTTAGATAGCATCATCAGCGCATTTAGACTATATATATATATATATATATATATATATATATATATATATATATATATATATATATATATATATATATATATATATATATATATATATATATATATATATATATATATATATATATATATAGTCTAAATGCGCTGATGATGCTATCTAAAAAAGGGCTTCAGCACATAAATCAACTATCTTAGTCTGCTGCCAATCATGAACTGAATTATATAAAATAAAAAACCATAAATTTTTTATGTTATTTAAAATATTTAAAACTGAGTTATTAGTGTTCTTATTATTATTTTTTAATTCATTTTTAATCAAGTTTTATGGTTTTTTTATTTTATATAATTCAGTTCATGATCCATCACCATATATAAGTTTTTATTCTCTAAGGAGCTATGCTAATCTAGCTGGAAAACTGGTACAATTTTTTTTTGTTTTTGAAACCAATATTTTTTTGATCAAAACTGTGATATTTTGAAGAAATAATATAAATTCTCTCTTAGGTGAGCGTACCCGTCTACATTCATAGCAAGCTTCTAATTGTTGACGACTCTGTTGCTGTGATAGGATCAGGTTTGGTTTATAAAATTTTTTTAATAGTTTAAATCTTTTTTTTTAATTATGATTAAACAGAATCAAGTCAATGTTTTTTGTTGTTTTTTTTTCACTGTTAGCTAACATCAATGATCGAAGCATGCTAGGTTCAAGGGATTCAGAAATTGGTGTATGTATACAAGACTATAAATTTGTAAGTTTCTTTTTAATAATTGAATCTATCAAGTATGAACTTAAATTTTTCTGAATTGTTCATAACAGCAGTTTTTATTAAACTTTTTATTTTACTTCAGTCATCGAGATGTTGAATAAGTCCAATGAAGGATAAAAAGTGTTTCAAAAAGTATGAAAATTAATATAAATAATGTATTAAATATATATTTAAGCAGCCAATATCTGCATAGCCAGAGTTTGTAGGGTCCAGTTTTTTCTAATGTAATTATTTTATGTTTTATATCATAACTTTATAATTAACAAATTAATGTAAACTAATTAAAAATTGGATTTTTAAAAGAATTTATAAAAAAAAGTTCAGTTATGCAATGTCATCCTTAATATTTGCATTTTTCAAAATTTAATTTTTCTTTTGAGAGTGGTGGGAAAAAAGTTGTATATTTGGAAAACATACTGAAAATCTGGAAAACATTGTATTATTTTACTTCATTTATTCAGGAAAAATTAAGGAAATTTAAAAAATGAAAATAGGTTTACTTGAAAAAGTTGTTTTTTCAGGGGCAACTCATGGGGAAGAGGGGAATCAAATCCTAAAAGTCATTGTGAAACCTGGCTTCCCTAATTTCTACCACTGGCTATGCACTTGATATCAATAAAGTTTAAAACTTTAAACATAAATTATAAATATAAACGTAGTTTTAATATTAAACAAGTAATAATATTAAGTAATAATAATAGTAATAATCAATAGATATAATCAATAATAAACAATAGATATAATCAGAATAATAGTATACTATAATATAAATGTTAAAATATAAAATTGAAATGAATGTTAAAAATCAGTTTACTTTTTATTTTAAACTTCTAAATATTTTTATAATTTCTTAAAAGTTTGTAAATCATTTATGAAAAAAATTGCATAAATTATTATTTAAAATAAAGACTAGAAAACTTGATGTAAAATCATGAATTTAACTACTCTTGAAGACAGACGGAAAAGAGGTGATCTTATTCAACAATATAAGCTTCTCAATAATTTAAACCTTATTGATTGGCACATAAAGCTTGCTGCATAGCACCCAGAGCTCAACATCGAATCAGACTACATGACGGACTTTTATAGTTTAAGCCAATTTAAGCATTGAAAAAATCTGGCCCTAGGTACACAAACTTTCCCTATAATTTTTTATTTTTTTGTTGTTTTTTTTTAAGTTTTTAAGGTACTCTCATAAGTCCTTATGGCCTTATCACAGAGCACCCCAAAAGAGCATTAACAATGCTAACATTCTACAAATTAGATAAAACTTTAAAAGAGTAAATAAAAAACTAGGTAATAGTTGTAATAGTAAAAAATGAAACAAAAATTGACTATTGAAAAGATAAAAGGATTATAAAACTTTTACTCAACTAAATCAACTTTTAGGTTGATTAGTAGGAAGTCGCTAGTTGATTTGACTGAAGTCACTAGTTGATTCAATCGAAGTCGACTAGTTTTAACTTTTAACTAGGCGACTTTTAGTTGATTTAGTCAAAGTTGATAACAGCACTAAAAATATTGCCTTTCTGATGACAGCCTTATTAACAGCCTTAGTTACATGGCATGGCAAATGCAAGTAAAAACTTCTTTATGCTGTTTCTCTAATATAAACAATCTAGAGCATTTTTTTTTTCTTAACTAAAGCTCATTCATACAATATTCATACAAGCTCTCTCTTAAAGTTTTCTTATTTCTATCACTACCATTTTCTACTAATTCTGCTATGTCTCTACATGCTGATACCTAAATTACTTTAATCTTTTCTAACAAACGTTGTTCGATACAACGTTTTTTCTAATCTGTCTAAGATTATGCCTCCTTTTATTGTCTTGCTAGAGTCACCCCACACATCCATCTGATCGTCTTCTCTTTTGGCAAATACTACACCATATAAATACTAAAGTTTATAAACAATGAACAAATATTGCATGTCAACATCTAAATAAATAGCAAACATATTCATACAATATGTTTTTATTCATAATATGCTTATATTCATACAATATGTTTATATTTGTAATGTTCCTTATATTCAAACATATTCATACAATATCCATTCATTGTTTGTATTCATAATATGTTTATATTCATAATAACATATTATGAATACAAACAATGAACGTTTATATTCATAATAACATATTAGGAATACAACTCTAGAAAACACTTTGACCTCTCTAACTATCCTGTGATTAGTCTTCACTCTGTTATTAGTTTTTTATATAAAGGTTTTGAGGTTATGAAACTATTTCTTTCTAACTGCAGTAGTAAAGTTATTCTTGAAGGCCTACTTGATTCTTTATTTTAAATTAAGGGTAGTACGAGGTTCTTTCTTTGCTCCTGTATTGTTTCTTATCTACAATAAGTGGCTCTATTTGCTGACGACTCAACTTTATACTTTTGTCTTGACAAAAAATCTTCACTTTTTAATTGCTTAGAACAAGCAATTTTAAATCTGATCTCTCTTTTGTAACAGCCTAAGGCTTGCAGTGGCTTATGGATTTAAATTCTGGACTTAAAATCCACAATTTTTGTTAGACAACAAAACTTGTTTATTTACTGCAAAAGAATATTGCAATATTGTTGGCATTCTAATATTGACAAATAATAACTCTCTAACTCTCAGTCAAAGTCTAAAGCATATTGTAAATGTAATTAGACCTGCTTAATCTGCCAAGCTTGAGCCACTTTCCCATTATTGTAAGGTTGCGTTTCTTTCTTTTTTTACAAATACTATCAATAGTCAATGCTCAAACAAGCATTGACTATAACGATAAACCAAAACTCATTCTTGCTTAGCTTTTTATTCAACAAGTTACATCCTTTTACTATATTCTCTATTTTCAAGTAACTCATAACTTAATAGTGGTTGCTTGCAATATTGATGGAAGTAAATTAGAGTTTAAAAATATATAAAGTGTAAGTCAGTATTTAATAAATATAATGTAAGCATAAAATTATGATATATTAAGTATTATAAATTTTTTTATTTTGGTCAACAAAAGTAAGATACCATTTTAAGCTGATAGAAATTACTAACTCATTTAAAAAAGATAATTTCTTCCTCTTCTCATGGATAAGGTTGTTAACTTTATTCTTTTTATTCTTTTCTTGTGCTCTGAGCATCCTGGAATCTTGTTGCTCTCTGTTGTACTCTTTTTCAATAAGAATAATATATTTTTCTAAAAATAAGTTCTAAAAAAAGACATTTATTTAAGATGAGGGCGTACAAGCAAAAGTATTCTAATTTTACTATATCAGCATATGAAAATGTCGGACCTAAAATTCTATTTATTCTATTTAGAAACACATGCAGATATGTGATAATCATATTTCAGATCATTAATACATCAATATTTCTTACAAGGTCAATCAAGAGATTTATAGAGGTAGAGAATGAAATCAGGAATAGATGAATGGAATGGAATGTAACTAAGGGAATGGAATGTAACTAAGGGAATGGAATGTAACTAAGGGAATGGAATGTAACTAAAGAATGAAATGTATTTAAGGGAATGTAATATGACTAAGGAATGGAATGTTACTAACGGAATGGAGAAGCACAATAAATAAAAGTAATCTTTTGAAACTCATCAGCCACAATAAGCCATAAGCAGTCACAAAAAAGAGATAGTTTTCAAGATTAGCTTCCTGTTCTAAGTAATGATGACTTTTTGCTATAACTGTTGTAGATTTCTATGTTTGTTAAAAAAGTTAGAACTATTTCATATGCTTTTCTGGGTAGGTTGTTTGTTTCAAATTAAAACATGGAAGATATAAGGCAAATTTTTTAACCAGGTGTCCATTCTAGTATCAACCTGTTAACAGATTCAAGGATATCCTAATATAAAAAAATTAGTCCTAATATTGGTACATTTCATTCTTGTTCATTTTCATTTAGATTGATGGCATCATGAATGGTTTAAAGGTCAAAGTTGGTCAATTTGCTTCCAGCTTGCGCAAAAAATTATTTCAAGAACACCTTGGTTTACTTAATCAGCCTGTTGGAAATGTTTTGGATCCCATAAGTGACCATTTTTACAATGTAATTTTTATAATTTCACTTACATTAGAAATATAGTATTTAAAGTTTAGTTAAATTAATTTTTGATAAAAATTGTTTAATAATAAAAATTTAATATTTAGAAGACATGGAAACAGAGAGCTGTTAACAATAGTGAAATTTATGAAAAGGTTGTTTTTTATTTAATTATTTTTTATAACTTTGTTATGTTGTATTTTTTGTATTGTATTATGTTTTCCCTTCCTTTACCTACACACATACACTAAACATGCATATTAGTAATCATAATTTTTCTTTTTTTAAATATCTCAGTTTTATGTGATAAAAGCTTTTACTGCATAACTGCATGCAGAAACTTCCACAAATTAAGAAGTAAATGTTTTGTCATATTTTATATGTATTTGTCAACTCTGATTGATTGTTTGTTCCCGGTTGTCAGCCAGACGGCTGGTCCTAGAAACTTGAAATTTAGCATGGATGATCCCCATGACTCAGGGAGTGACATAGGCTGTGTCAAGTTAACCTCGGAGGTTGTTGGAGGCCGCCCGGGATTGCAGGGGCTTTCAAATGATCATTTCTGGTTTGGGGGGGGGGGGAGAACGGATAGAGTGTTCCTTGTGAAGTGCAAAGTTGTTCCTCGCCCCCAGGGGGTGGGGGTGCAGATGATCTTGGGTGTGACCTCAGGGGTCACTGGAGGTTGGAATGGTCTGAAGGATGGGTTAAGCATTTCCTATGATGTAATTTTTGTCAGTTTCTGTCGTGCTCCGTGGATTGCTGTTGTCTGTTTCGTCGTTTTCCAGAGTTTTTTGGAATGTTTCACATTTTTCGGAAGTGGGACAGATTTTTCTGGAGTGGTCCAGAGTTTTCAGGAATTTGCCATAGTGCACAATTTGGCTGTTCCATCACCTTCCAGAGCATTCGGGGGCTTTCCAGAGTGTTCCGTGGTGCTCTTTGGCTCCGTCTGGAGCCTTCCAAGGGGATGTAGGTGGATCACCGGAGATCACGAACGGGTGTGGAAATATTGTTTTTTAGTGGTAACTAATTCATTTTTGGTTCTTTTATTTTGTGGTGGTCAACTTGGTACAAGGACTTTTCAAATGAGTCTTGTGTATGAATATATATAAAATTATGTGTGTATGGTGTATATAAAATCTCCGAATGGAAGAACTTTTAGTGTTGTGTACCAAGAGGCTCTGCAGCAGTTTTTTTATAGTACCCAGGAATGATAGTTTTTTAGTCTAGTAATTGATTTTTGGATGGTGGGTTTTCTTTGTTTTGCCGGTGCCTAGCGATGTGGGCGCCTCTGCTAGTATCCTATATGTGCAGAAACTTCCATTAAATTAGAAGTAAAATCTTTGTGACTACTCTGTACCCAGTGAGAAATGGGCTTGCGATTAGCTAGCTTTATAGCGATTTTTTTTTTCCTATTTTATTATTTCCTAATATCTTTAACATCTTTAAAAAGTTGATTTTTAGTGTTGAGTCTATTATAATTATGAGGATAATCGAACTTTAAACATTGCGATTTTGTAGCAATATGTCGCTAGCTACATATCGTAGCTTTGTAGCTAGCTACAAAATATCTACAAATCTATAGCTGGTTGATAGCTACATACCAAAATTTTTTTGATAGCGATTTTATTACGATATGACGGTAGCTACAATAGCCTGTGAGTCTTTAGCTTATTAAGCTAGCTGTCCTCGTAGCCAAATCGCTATCTTTACAAATATCGATAACTTTTCGCTAACTTAAAAAAGCTAGCGATCCTTATGGCCAAATTGCTGTCTTTATCGTTATGATTATAGCTAGCTATTCGCTAGCCAATTCCCCACTGGGTAGTCTTTTATTGACATTATTAATAAAGGTTCGACTAAGTTATCAAAGTAGTTAAAGAATAATTAAACATTTTGTCTTATAAATTTTTAAAATCTGTGATTAATGACGTGTACCTTTTTTATTTAATCCAAGTATTTCTTCAAATTCTTTTTGCTACAGTCTTTATGTTTTATAAGAGATGTTGTCAGAAGCAAGAAATTGTTCTTTGTATTTGCAAATGTTTAGTTGTATTTTTACTTGATATAACAGGAAATCAAACTTCATAAAATAAGTTGACTGATTCTTTGTATATAAACATTGTAAAAAGTTGTATTTATTAACAATTATTTCTTTATACTGTTGCTAGTCTAAAGTTATTTTTATATGGTTAGGTTGTCAGTTTATATAAAGAAACAATTTAATTTTTTTTTATTTTTATTCCAACTTTTCTTTATATATATATATATATATATATATATATATATATATATATATATATATATATATATATATATATATATATATATATATATATATATATATATATATATATATATATATCAACTCAGATTTTGTTGACTTGCTTTTGCAGTTAATCATTTTACAGTGCCACCAATACTATCACATGGCAACTTACCATGACTTGTAGCAAAACATGTCCGCTCTGGCTTGTTTTCTTTTTCTGTTATTCAAAGTGTTTAACCTAATCAGCAAATTAACATCAATACAATAAAATTTGGTGAATTTATTCTGTGTAAATATGATACAATTGTTTCAATGGATTGGTATGATAAATGAAATTGACTATATTTAGCAAGATGTTGTGGTAACATTTATGGACCTGCACGGTCCTTTTACCAAACCTTTCAGGCTATCTAGACCATAAGAGTGTTGGGTTCCAATTACCAACATAATTTGTATCATTGATGCACCTGTAACAACAACTGGCAATATGTATACACTGAGGCATATTCGTTTAGACGCATTAATTTTTTTCTCTTTATTTTAATTTTTTTCTATATTATCAAAATAGATGTTGTGTTGTGGGCTAATAAAAACCACAAAAACATTTTCTATGTGTCTTTATTAACATTTCTATGTGTCTTTATTAACATGAGAGTATGTTTGATATACAAAAGCACATTTTTTAATTGGAATATATCTATAGACGCAATCAGGTTAATAATGGTAGTTATTGATTTTTAATCACTTTTACAGAAATAAATTGATAATTTTTAGTGTAATTTGATATTTTGTTCTGTCAGTATCATTTTTATTGCATTTTACAAAATGCCTAAAGAAAAGTATTTGACAGATGCTGAAAAAATACAAATTAATTTATATCGTGGCTCAGAAATCTCACCAGCACTTTCTATATGAAAAATAGCAAGAAAAATTGGAAGATCTGACATGTTGTACAAAACTACATTGCAAAAGGTGACAATTACGGTGTAAAAAAAGCAACAAACGGCAACAAAGTATTAACAAATCGCCAAATTAATCGAATTCGTTTCAAAGCAACCAAAAATAAATTGAATGCAACACAAATAAACGATAAATTATTATTGCCTCTCACCAATAAACATGTTGCACATATTCTACATACAATACCAAATGTAAAGTGGACGAAACCACACCAAAAACTAATGTTAAAAAAACACCATAAAATTGCTAGATTACAGTTTGCTAAAAACCATATGCATTGGACTCATGAGTGGCAAAACGTAATATTTTCAGATAAAATAAAAGTTCAATTTAGATGGTCTGGACTCTTACAGTTGTTAATGGCATGATCTAAGAGGAATAAATGACCCACAAACAAAACGAAATTATGGCGGAGGAAGTTTAATGGTTTTGGGGTGGATTTTCTTATTCAGTAAAATTGACTCTGTGTTGTGGTTTACCTAAAATGAACTTGATAAAGTATACAGAAATGTTGGATGATGTTCTCATAACTTATATGGACGAAAACATGGACGATAATGCCATATTTCCGCAAGATAATGCTGCAATTCACACATCTAGGCATTCTATGAAATGGTTTAAAGACCACAACATCCCGGTTCTTGAATGGCCAGCTTGTAGCCCGGACTTAAATCCAAAGCAAGAAAAGTTTATGACGCTAAAGCAGCCGGACACCAATTTAAAACTGTTACTGAGTTAAAGTGTAAAATCCTTGAAGCATGGTCCAAGTTGGATCAAACTACACTTTAACGACTAGTGGAATCAATGAAAGGCAGAGTTTTTGAGGTGATCCAGTGTAATAGAAGACATATGCATTGCTAATTTCTATCTTTTAATGTCAAAAATATGACTGCGTCTATAGATATATTCCAATTAAAAAATGTTCTTTTGTATATCAAACATACTCTAATGTTTATAAAGACACATAGAAAAATTTTTTTTGTGATTTTTATTAGCCCACAACACAACAATTATTTTGATAACAACTTGCATGCATATCAGTTGACAATTCATAAAAAAAAAATAAGATAAAGAGAAAAAAGTTGATGCGTCTAAACGAATATGCCTCAGTGTACTTTAGTATTTGACACACCTAAGCAAATCTTAACACAATCTTCACACTTTATTTTTTGTATTTTACTTTGTAAATAATTAAATAAAATGGAACAAACAAGTACAAAAAATTTTTGAAAACAATCTTTTCAAAGTTTTTGAAAATAATCTTTGCAAAAAAAAAAGAATTTTACTTGAGAAAATAAGTGGGGCATGGTCCTAGTGCCATGGATCTTCTGGTTGTTTGCCTGGAAACAATTTTAACATATATTTATTAGGTCTACATAAATGCTGAAAGTTTCAGAGCTTAAATTTGTTTGGAAGGTAGTGAAAAATCAATCACAAGATTCCAATACAAAAAAGTGTGGCACATACCCCAGACTCCTCCTCTCCCTGATGTTTTAGGCCCTGCTATCAATTTTAACATGCACGTTCATTGGTATTACAGAAATGACAGTTTCAAAGATCAAACTAGTCTGGAAAGTATTGAATAATCAATCGCAATATTCTGCTACAAAAAAGTGGGGGCCATGCCTTGCTAATCATATATGGAAATCTACATACTTGCAGATCAAAATCCTTTTATTTTCTGAATAGTCAATATATATATATATATATATATATATATACACACATACAACCCTCGGAATTAGGGTCAGCATTCAGCAATTTTGACCTAACTGCCAACCTGAAAGTGTTTGAAGTCGGCAAAAAATTGCTGATCTTGTTTCTATGTTTTATGGTTAGACCTTTGTATCAAATAATTTTTGCCGACCTGATGCTGACGTTGAAAAGATTGAGGTCAGCAAATTATTGTCAACCTCATTTTTCCAAATTCTGAGGGTTGTATATATATATATATATATATATATATATATATATATATATATATATATATATATATATATATATATATATATATATATATATATATATATATATATCTGTGTGTGTGTGTCTGTGTGTGCGTGTGTGAAAGATCAATGAATATAGAATGATGTGTAATTTTTATTTATTTTTGTGTTACCCAGTGCCGTTGAGCTGGCTAACACCCTGATATAAATGTGTATGTATATATATATATTTATACATATATATACAGTGGTGCGAAAATTATCAGAATCACTGTGATAAATTTATGAAAGCTTACAGTTTGAAATATTACAAATAAATCACTCTTTTATTTAAAATATTAGAAATAAACCATTGTCAGTACTTAGTAGAACCCTCTTTTTCTTCAATTCTCTTGGGCATTCCAAAAATCAATCTTTGACACATTTCCTGTATCTCTGGGTCCTGTACCTAGATGTCAACTAGTCCATTGTTCAGTGCCACTCTTGTTGTTGGCTTTTTGGATATAATTCTGCGATTAACAATCATCCACATATTTTCAATAGGGTTATTTTCAGGTGATGAAGCTGGTCACACAAAAAATTTTTGTGCTCCAGATACTGCTTGGCAGAATGTGACAAAGTGCACTGTCTTGTTGAAATAGTGCTTCATCTGTTGGAAAGCAAGTTATTAGCTCAGGTAGCAGATTTTTTTTCCTACACCTTGATATGCTTTTGCTCATTGATATCTCATTGTGCCCTCTACTATATTCAACTTTTCAAAACCATGGGTTGAGATCACAGTTTACGCCATAACTGATGTTGGATGCTTCACAGTTTTTACCAGGTAGTCATGAAAGTATTTCTCACCAGAATATTTTTGAACATACTGGCACTTGTTATCAAGGATTTGTAGGATTTATATATGTTGTTATATTATCCTGAAAGTTATAACAACATATAACTACGTATATTCATTTTAAAAGTAATGATTTAAACTTTATAAGCAGAAAAATTGTAACTTGAAGATTTTTACTCCATTAAAATTACTTGGTTACCTTTTTCCAGTCTTCTTCACGTCAACTCTTGTGGTGGACTTTCCACTATAAACAGTGAGCCTTATGCTTCTTATTAGGTAATCGTTTTTTGCTGGTTGACTGGCAGTGATGCCAGCCTGGATGAGGCTCCAAGTACAGCTTGCAGAATTTTTCTTGGAGCGTTGTTCTATCACATCCTGCAGATGTTTGCAGAAAATGTAAAAAAAGATGAAATATGATCACTCTACGAAAGAAATATATAACTAAAAACAAGATTTTCTATAATAAGTAATTTGCTCTGCTCTCTCTATTTGATTACAACACCAATTCTTTCATAACCATTTTAAAAATGACTGCATTACTTATCTAGCAGAGTATAAAATAGTCAAAAATGGGTTTTTTTTTGTATGCAATTTTTGTTAATTGTTTTATTTTAAAATGAAATAATAAATAAACAAAAATTATACAATTTAGGTATTCAAATGTTTTCCGTCAAATAAAGTTGAATCGTTTGCCAAGCTTGATGAATATAAGGTAAATACAAAAAAAAACTTTTTTAGCTCACTATTTTTAATAACTGTATGTTTGTAATATTTTTTTAATTTACTACCTTCCCTACGGGCATTTGTTTTAGAAAGTTATGTTCTAAATGTCTTTTAAACGTTTTTTAAACGTCTTTTAAACGTTTTTTACGTAAGAATGTTTAGAAGACGTTTATAAGACATTTAAAATACATTTACAACGTAACTTTTAAAAAGAAATGCCCGCTGGGTTAATATGACTTGCTTTGTTCTAAACCTAACGGGTTAGGAATACACACTTCCAATTCAGCAACAGAAAAAAAAATGAAAATTTGTTACATAGTGTAATATAACAAAAAAAGTAATACAAAAACCGCTGGGTTAATATGACTTGCTTTCAAAACTTAAAGAATTTTAATAATTGCCATCTTCAAGTTTTCTTTTTTAAAGCATTAACCATTTTTAATTTTAAAAACTTCAAGAAATTATTTTATTTTGTACGCACTAAATTGTAGTATAAAAAGTTCAAATTGTAGGATCGAGAGTTTTTTTCATAATTCCGTTTAACTGATAAAGCCGCTAAAATCTCTTTCCAAATCAATAGTGTTTAAAGCTTGAGATTAACAGCGCTTTATACTTGACGAAAATGCAAATTCAGTTTTAGTGTGTGTTCCTTGCAAACGGATTCCGCTTGCGTAGCAAAGCAGAATTGGTTTTTCCTCAGTACAAATAACAAAACAATAATAAATACGAATTCTTATTGATCAAAGTATAGAATTAAAAGAAAATTTTCAGATGAGAAGTTATTAATAATATTTAAAGTATGTATGGTTTAATTGTTTTTACAAAAGGAACAAGTCTAAAAAGTGGAAGATTTAAAACAACTGTAAGTTTGAATTGTCTTGGCTCTTATTTGATCTGTAATGATCAATAAAGCATATTATAGTTTCATTCATTTAAGCAATCCAGTTAGATGCAGCTTCTTTTTGGATCGCTACTTAGATCGATAAGTAATAAAAAAAATTTAATTCATCTCTCATTTGCTACTTCTCATTTTTTTAGGCTTTGAGCTAGAGCACTTATTTAAAAGCAGTATTGTATATATTTTATAATTAAATTTCTGTTTTTATAATTGTATTTGTATTGGGTATACATAAAACTTTTTTATCTTTACTTTTTCAGAAAAACTCTATGTGTGAAATCGATAGTGAACAAGCTGAATTATTGTTAAAAGATATACTTGGATTTCTTGTAATCAAGCCGCTTAATTTTCTATGTAATCAAAACTTAACACCTGCAGCAGGAACAAATGAGGCATTAGTACCTGCTAAAGTATTCACTTGAATTAAAATATGTTTTTACAAAATAATAGTTGTGTTTTAAGAATCCACTTTTATCTCAGTTTATTTTTGTTGTTTATTTTTTTATTTAATTTTTTTTCTTCTTGACTTATCAAGTCGTTTTTTTTTTAAACCTTTGACTTATTAAGTCGTTGTTTTTAAACCTTTGACTTATCAAGTCGTTGTTTTTAAACCTTTGACTTATCAAGTCGTTATTTTTAAACTTTTGACTTATCAAGTAGTTGTTTTTAAACCATTGTCACTTGATTACAATCTTTTATATCTATATTTTTCCATGATCACAACCTTTAAACCTATGTTTTTTTCATGATCATAATGATAGCCTTTAAGGCAAAAAAGACTTTTAATTGTAATTTCTAGTATTTTAAATATTTTATAAATTATTTTATAACGTTAGAATTTGTATGAATTGTTTTAGGGATTGTGTTGTATATATTTTTGAGATGTTTTTTTTTCAAAAACTTGTGTTTCAAAAAGGATATTTTATGATGCAAAAATAATATATTTATTTGTTAGTTATAATTTTAACTTTGATTTTATTTATTTTTAATAAATTATTAAAATAAAAAAATTCTTTTGTTACAAAAACTAATGCTATTCTTATGACTTTGATTTTTTTATTTAAAATAAACAGTTGATTTTAAATTAAAATAGGCTATTTTTTAAATAGATTTCTTAGGGAATTTTTTTAAGTCATTTTTTTATCTTTCTTAAAATGGACGATGAAATTATTTTTGAAATATTTGGAAATTGTGTTTAAAGTTATTATTTAAAGTCATTATTTTTTATATATATTTTATGGATATATACTTTATATGAAAAGTAATATTTATATATAAAGCTAGTAATATTATTATTACATCATTAAAAAACTAACTTGTTATTTTTGATTTTTAGTCAGGGAACAGTTCCCACATTCACTAATTAAGAAAAAAAGGTAAGCTACACACAACTAAATACTTTAAAATGTATCAGATTTTGTCCCACCTAGAATTTATGGAATGATTAAGCAAACCCGACAAAAATTACTCAATGCGTCCTGTTGCATCAGAGTATCTGGTTAAACTTATGCAACCAACTTAAATAAAAACTAAAGTAGGCCTATTAACTTGACTCGTTAATGAAGCTAGGTAATATAAATTAAATGTCAATAAAATTCAAGTTTCGTTGATATTTAATTTATATAGGTCCATTCCAATTGATGAGACAAAAGCTACTAAACTCCTCAGTTACATGATTAGTTTCCTGATTCTCCCAAATACATTTTATCCATGGCTCTGTACCATACCATAAATAAAAGTAAATGTAAAGAGTTGCATCCGTGAATGCAACTCATTACATTTACTATTAATCCTTATTAAAAAGCATTACTGCAACTCTTTATATCCATGGATGTAAAAGAGTATGTAAAATTGATTGTAAAGTTTAGCATGAAATTAACGCTCGTGTAACTACAGTTAATCTCGTTAAATAATTCTATATAACCACTGTGTATACAATTATTTTACGAGATAGAGTAATGTAAACTATGTTGTTTACAACTAATTTATGTGTCGGGTAAAAAATGTCTTTTTGTTAAGTCTAATAGTTTAGGTGATGCACCTGTATTTATCTTGCCTTCCTAATATTGACAAGCTACTACCAGCTTTGGATAAGGAATTGTGTTTTCTACTTTATTGAAAACATAATTTAGTTAATTATTATCAATTGTTTACATAGACTTTTGTATATATTTGTACTCGTATATTTATACATTTGACTTTTAATAACTATTTAATAACTATAATGTTTTTGATTTGAATGTATATAAGAAAATATTAAATTCAAACGTAGAAAATATTAAGGTTGCTCCTCTTGCAAAAAACGTAAAAATAAATTTAAACAATTTCTATTAAAAAAGCACAGTTTGTCAGTTTTAAAAAAATTAGCAGCTGGAGGAAATAAACCCTTTTTTTTTTTTTTTTTTTTTTTTTTTTTTTTTTTTTTTTTACAACAATTATTATATATTTCAAGAACAAATATTTACATGACTCCAGTTTATATAAATGTCCACCACACATATTTGCAATATCTAAAGAGCGTTAACAATGCTGTTTCACGCTTGGCGTATTACAGTGGGTTAGAAATGTTAAGAGAAAAACAAAAAAAATAATAAAAAGTAAAAAATCGTGGTTTATAATATAAAGTGCTGGCTATTAACCCATGCATTTAAAAAATATACGCAAGTCCGTCGCACCACAGGGCTACTAGGGACTTGCTTGTGGTTATCGTTGAAAAAATATATTAATATATCATAATAACGCTATGTTGTTGTAAGGAAACTCGCAGAAGACTAAGAGAAGTCTTTTCATCGAAAACCTTTAAAATGCAAAATGAACAAAAAATTTAAAGAGTAATTTCACAAAACACACATTAACTTTGAGGTCCACTGTTCAGTAATATTTTACTATGTATAGTTGCTACTATACTTATTATTATTATAATTATTTTGATTTATTTATTTATTTTAAAATTTAAATTGTTCTTGTTACATTTATTATATTCATTTTCTTTTACATTTAATACATATCGATAAAATTGGTTTTGTTAATTATGAGATCTTTTAATTTTTTTTTAAGGATAGTAAGATTATCTAATTTAGTAAGTTCTATATTTTGAGATATTATTTTGTTGTATAAGTAGGGGCCACGGTATGCAATTGAAAATCTTGAAAATTTTGTTTTTTTAATGGGCAGGGTGAAATTTCCTGTTCCTCTTGTGCTATATCTGTTGGCGTAGGTATGAAAAAAGTTATTAGTAAAATGAGATGGGACAAGCCCGAGCATATATTTGAGCATAAATAAAATATTTTGGTAGATGTTAATTTGATAGACATTTAACACATTCAAGTTTTTAAGTAAAGGATCGGGGTGAGTGAATTTATTTTTATTATAAATCAATCTTGATGCGTGTTTTTGGTGTACATATAGAGAATTTAGTTTAGATTTATTTGTACTTCCCCAGGCAATATTAGCATATGTTAAATAACTTTGTATATAAGAAAAGTAGAGACTTTTAAGATTTTTCTGGGAAAGTAAAGGTTTGACTTTGTAGAGTATGCCGATACTTTTTGATATTTTTGTATTTATTGTATTTATATGGGCTTTCCAAGAAATCGTTTCGTCAATAATTATCCCAAGAAATTTAACGGTTTTAGTTCTTTCGATATTTATGTTATCAATTTTTAGTAATGGTAGCATTCTTGGTATATTATTTTTTTGATGGTTGGAGTGAAACAAGATGTATTTTGTTTTTTCTGTATTTAAAGATAATTTATTTACTTTAAACCAGGTGTTTAGAAACCCTTAAAAGCTATTAAGTTACTTTTGGAGGAAGGAAAAGTAGACCCAGACTGTATTTTAATGTTAGATGTATTTACAGAAATGTAGTGAGTATAGTGGTGGTAAATATGTTAGTTTGGATAAAAATTGTAACTTTTTCAAAAGTATCCTTGTTTTTATGATTGTGAGTTTAAAAAAATCTATCCCTTATGCCATAAAGTCTTGTCTACAAACAAAAATAAATGGAGATATAGTCTTCCTTGAAATTAAAGAAAGTTTGTCTGTTTTAAAATTAGGAGGATTTAATGTACGTTCAATAGTTGCAGACAATCATTTGACAAATGTATTAGGATATGGACAGTTGATTAAATGCTTCGGAACTGGTAAATCTGAAGAAGATCATTTTATTGTGTACGAAGAAAAAAAAATTTACCTTATGTATGAAAGTGTTTATCTCTTAAAAAATATTCAAAATAATCTACTTAATTTTAAGCGATTTATATTCCCTGTTTTCTATTTCGATGAACTTTATGATCCTATTTCAGTTACTGCTGGTGAATTATCTTGGCATCTTCTCAATAAAACTTTCGAAAAGGATGAAAAACTTAGTGCTAATTTACGTAAGGCACATAAACTCCTATTTCAATTTTTACATCCAGGAAATGATAAGCAAAGTGTTCCTCTTGTTTTGAATGTTTTCATGAAACAACGTCAGCTCCCATTAAAAGTTATTTTCCACAAGATTTATCTGCAGCTGAGTTTTTACACCTTATTAATAGTTGGTGGTTAATATTGAATTCAAAGTCAAAATATTCAAATAACTATATTGGTTATGCAGTTGTGAGGGAAGATAAAAAACCTGAATTCTTACTTTGTTTTTCGAAGTGGATTAATGAATGGCAAATAAAACAGTTAAAGGAGTGCGGAAAGTTTACTCTTAGCAAGCAAACAGCAAATGCTATGAATAAAACATTAAAAAGTTCTGCTGATTTGTGTGATGATTTACTCAATAAAGGTTATACTTACATTTAAACAAGTCATTTTCAAAATGACCCTCTAGAACGTCGATTTTCAAAATATAGACAAATGAGTGGAGGTCGTTTTCTTGTTGGTTTACGTGAAGTTGAATCTTCTGAGAAAATACTTCAAATTAAATTTCTAGTGAAAGAAGATATAAATTACTGGGATTTAAATCTTAAACCAGAGACCAGTCCAGATCTTTCGATGTGAAATCGATTTTGAAAATGATTTTGAAGAGATTGATTTAGACGATGACAGCAAGGAGGTGGCAACCTACATTGCAGGATTTATTATGAAAAAATCTCTAAAAAATTTGTTTGTTCTGAATGTGAAGCATTATTAAATCATGAGAAGGTCACCATTGTGTTGAGTACACAAATTTTCTCTCTAGAGGGGGGCTTCAATTACCTGGGAAACATCTTGCATCATATATATCACATTGCTTTGCTAAACTAGATTTAGCTCAAGAAAATTTATTTTTAAATGCTGATAATATCAGATATGCTGCAAGAAAGCTCCTAAATCTTGGAAGAGAAGGGATCTTCATGTGTCCTCAACATTTTAATAATGCTATAATATTTATTAATAATATAATTATAAACATATACTTTAACAACAAGCAAATAATTATCAACGGTGGAAAAAGAAAAGACGAGATTGTTGCTTTTAAATCAAAGAGAACAAAAAGAAAGCATTATGATTAATCTATTTGTTGTTGTTAATTTCACAGTATTTTAAAATTTATTGTGATTTTATGAATGTTTATATTACTTTAAATAAAAAATAATTTTAAATAGTTGTTTATTTGATTTAATAATTTCTATTTTTATTATTTCAGCATTTTCTATAAAAACTCAATAATTAGAATAAAAAAAAAAAAACTGGCCTCCTATTTTTTTCCCGTAAAAACCAAAAAACCCGGCCGTGTAGGCCATGGGTGCTTTTGTAAAGTTTCACATGATCAATTGCCACCTCGGTCTCGTGAGCCCGTTAGCTAACTAAACAAAATAGTTTCAACTTCTCTCACATTTATCTTTGATGTGAGAGCATCCCTCTTTCTGCATACATTGTAATATAAATTTTAATAATTAATTTTTAAATAAAGCAATAATAAAAATGTCAAT